GAAAGAAAAATTGAATATTCAAACAAACTCGAAAAAAATCTGGAAAATTAAAATCCCTATTGAGAGGGTCCTGCAGACACTTACGCGTCTTCCCCGCGTTTAGCCTGGCGGCCTTGATGATGTTGACGGTGAAGACCATGCCGTGGTGGTTGTAGCCCATGCAGAAGCCGGGCAGGCATCCGGCGTAGCACAGCGCCGTGAACTTCTCCTCCGACACCTTCCACCGGCCCTGCGGCTCGGGCGAGGTGATGTGCGCCGACACCAGGTAGACGTGGTTCAGCGTCTCGGCCAGCGCGTCCTCGGTGTGGCCGATATACTCCTGCGGGGTCAAGAGCGAGCGGTTGGTTGAGTGGGCCAGTTCGGGCGGTTGGTTCGCAGCAGCCGTGACGCTGTGGCGGATGATGGGCGTACCGACCTGCCCGGGGTGGTTGATGCAGATGGTGGAACAGCCGTTAGTGCCCTGGTTGGCTGGTCGCCCAACTACGTTCGGGGTGATCTCGTCCATGTGCAGAAGGAACAGCTGGAACCAAGCGGTCGATGGAATCAGTATCATGGCCTCCAATTATTGGGGTAGGGTAGCCCAGTGCGAAATGAATTTTAAGCGACATCGAATCGACATCAGAACGATATTGTTTTCAAGTTCCTGACTCAGATCTGATATGAAAATGGGCCCGAAATCGACACTTTTCTGGATGCCAGATATCGTTCTGATGTCAATGCGATATCCGCATTTCTCATTGGAGGTACGTGACACGGGCTTTGCTCACCTTGTGGAAAGGGACCTTGGCGCCGTCTGCGGTGCCCTGCAGCTCCTGGACGTACTGGGGGTAGTTTTTCTTGACGGCGGCCAGGGTATCCTCGTAGGCGCGCCGGCCCGTGTCCGTCTCGTACGCCGGCAGGTACTCTTCATTGAGGGAGGTCGCCTTCGCCAGGAAGCTCTGAATGATGCCGCTGAACGTCCGGCCCTGGTGAGGAAAACAGGTTAGCACCACAAAGATGTACAGTCTAAATAAATTCGAAACCCGGCCTAATTTCATTTGAATGTTTGGTAATGTCTCTCTAACAATCGATCACTCTTCCTCACCACGTCGAAGCCCACTTCGTAGTGCGTGCCCCGGGTGTATAGTATGGGGATGGCCTGCCGGCGGCCGATCTTCTCCACGACGGGCATGTCGGCGGCGGGCGCGAGGAGCTGCAGGGCGTGGATCAGGTCGCCGTCGGTGACCGTGTCCGCGTACGCGACGGAGGGCGGCGGGATGCGGCTGTCGTCGGCGACGAAGCGGCTCTCCCCAAAGGCGACGTCGTAGGGCGTGTCGGCTTCGGCGCCGTGGCTCGGCCAGCTACCCTCGTCGGACGTGACTGCAACCAAAGGGAGCCATGTCGAGTCCATGTCGCCGAGAAGGGGCAAAGCGGGGGAGGGGGTGAGGTCGATGGGGGCGGGGGCGTGGAGGGCGCGGCGGCGAACAGGCCGGCCAGGGGACGCAGGAGAGGAGAGCTGTCCGCAAAAAAGCTACAAATTCAACTATTTAACTTTATCGGCCACTACGCTGCCATAACTCATCGTTATTTCTTCAATACTCTAAATCACTTTATACGTAGGCGTAGGCCAATCCCAACGTACCCGTCGGCTGAGGTGATCCACGCGTCAAACGCGCGCTCCATATAATCCTGCTCTTTCCTTTCCCGAAATAATAAAACCTGTGGCGCACTAACATTGATTACATCGTCTCTTCGCCCAGGTGCCTTCAGCAGAAGCCTTAACGCGGCGGCCGGCCTTGAACATAGAGGTGGCGGTCGGCCTGCTTAGCGCCCGCGCGGTGTGCTCAAACACCGCGCCGTTACTCGCCTCGCCCGGGCTCCCCCGAGCTGCCCTGCCCTGCTGGTCGCGGGGGGCGGCGGAGGAGGCGCCACCGGGCGCGGCCACGGCCTCTGGGACTTCCCCCGAGGAATGTGTCGTGCAGACACGAGCACGACCACTTTGCCCCCCGCGTCGGGATAAATAAAGGAATACCTACGAGGACGGTCACACTGCCGCGCGCGCGCGTGGCCCTGCCGCTCTGTTCGCCACCCTCCCCTGCTGGCTTCTGTTCGAGTAACCGGCGCTGTCCTTCAGCCCCCTTGCGCGCCCCTTATGTCCTCACCGGCCGATTAAGGTGTCCGCGTCGTCTGTTCGCGTCCACCACTTCCCTCTCGTCGCCGGCACAATCTGGTGAAGCACTGTGTCATTCCCGCTCAGTAACGGCTGCATAGATGTCTTGCAAAACACACACACTAACACACACACACACACACACACACTTATCGCAGCCTAGGCGGCAGCAACCTGCCTTAACAAATATGAAGTGTACTGGTCGTGATAACGCCACACCACCTTCGCGTCGTTGTACGTCGCGGACAAAAAACCGAAACTGGGCGACTTCGACTCCCATGCGAATGAAGCGCGCACTGGTGACTTCGGCCTTTGGGCCTCGGTTCACTCACACCACACCGCCTTCTTGGTGCGGGCGACTCGTTGCCGCTGCCGGCGGCGGCTCATCCGGAGATACAACAGCCGCCAGAGCGGCAGAGCCGAGCCTTTGATCGTGGGAAAGACAAGGAACGAGTATATCGTTATCAGCGACTTCGACGACGGCGCGATGAGCCAGCCGGCTCGTCACTCGTCACCTCGCTCCCCCCCC